TGTGTGTGTGTGTGTGTGTGTGTGTGTGTGTGTGTGTGTGTGTGTGTGTGTGGACACATTTTTGCTACGTCATGGGGATAATTTTCCAGAAAAACTGAAAATAAATGGAAGTCAGTCAATGAACAGTCCAAATAAGAATAGAAATACAAACTTGTTTGTGTGTGTGTGTGCAGGTTTTCATATGTCTCTGTTTCTTCCTCCTCAGCCCTCTGAGAAGTGTGGAGTCCTAAATGTAACCAAAATCACAGAAAATGGAAAGAAGCTCAGGTTAAAATTTATTTCAAAGCCAGATATTCTTTCTAGATTAGTTTCTTCATGCACTCACCTTGAATTTGTTTTTAAAATGTTATCAAACAGGAAGAACTGGACGTCCTCGTGGACGGTGCTGCAGGGTTTCTCCCTCCTCTTTGCTAAGGGTCAAGGCAGCAGCACCTCTTGGGTATGTATCCATCACTGTCCTATCTGCCTCTTACTGACAATCTGCTCATCTCTTGTTATCTCAGTATTGTTTCACATTATTTCCTGTAAGGCTGTGCTGTCTGTTGTGTCGTTGTCTGTCTGTTGCTCTTCTCTTCTCATCTTGTCTCCTCCTCTCTCTGAAGTCATACTACCACAGTGGCTCCATCCCAGAGCTGCTCCTCACTCTTCTTAGCAGCTGGAAACGTTCGTACAAGCATCGTCCAGCTGTGTCCTATAAGAACTGTCGGCCTGTGCCGGCTACTGCTGTATGTCCCCAGTCTCAGCATGCATTAGCTCCTCCTCATTGTTTCTATCCTCTATTTACCCCCTGACTGACTGACTGACTGTTCTSTAATTGTGAACCTTGGCTGGATTTTCCTTTCATAAAGTTTACTAAAATAACATAAACTTACAAAACAAGCAATAAGTATCTAAACACAGTCTAAAGATAACCTGAAAAGAAAGAGCCTTCTCGTTTACTTTCATTGCTTTCAGTGGTTCATTTTACCTGATCGTTGGAGTTCAGGGTATTGATTGGATAGATCAGAAATTTAAACTCTACTGGTGTGAATGTGATTAAATTTTTTATTATAATTTTTTGTGACTGTCGCATCCGTGAATCTTCTGTTTGAAGACCAAAAATCTCCAGTTGCAATGAATTACCTCTGAGGATGTAACAGTTTGTGTATTTGTACAAACCAATCACGTATAGACATCAGTCATACAGTCTAATGTATATGTTGGTCACCATCACTATAGTCATTTAGAAAATGACTCACTCTTTTAAAAACTACAGTGACTGAAAATATATATCCAGTGGTGGGCACCAGCCCGCTAAAGCGCATATCCGCTAATTGCGGACCTAAATATCTCGTTTGCGCTTTAGCGGTCTTACTAATTTTTATAATTCATAAGCGGATTTGCACTTACTAAAATTAAAATGCAGTACCGCTAATTATCTGCCAGTCATCATTATCTTGAACAGCGGAAGGTATGGCTGTCAATGAATCGTAAGGTTAAAAATATAACCACGGTTCCTTGAAGGAATGGAACGAAGTACAACACACAGGTGTATATGGGACACGTGCGCCCTCGCACGCCTGGCTGAAGCCACCTCTAATCACGTCTGTAGTAAGGGTGTAAGAAAATATCGATACACTGAAATATTGCGATATTTCATTTTCTGATACTGTATCGATATTCTAAAGCCCTGTATCGATTTTTTATTAAGGTTTAAAATGTCAACTTTCCTGCCAGCCATTTATTTTATGTTGTAGTTCAGCCTCTGACCACTAGTTGGCAGCACTGAGCCAGCCATTTGGCTCCTCAACCTCTTGAGG